AAGCCAAGGTGGCAGTTTAAGAGTTAGTACTTCTGGTCTTCAATCATCACATCAGGCTAGGTACAGGCGGGGAGTTTTAACAAGGAGGGCAACTGACCATTGGAACAACTCACCTAGAGATGTGGTGGATCCTCCATCACTTGAAGTCTTTATGTCAAGACTGGGTGTCTCTTTCTAAGTGACAAACTTGATCTCAAATGGTGTGTCATGGGCTGGCTGTAGGGATCCCTGAGTGAGATACCTTGGCCTGTGTGATGCAGGAGTTAAACTAAATCAGTGGGCCTCAAACTATGGGGCGAGCCTCCCATGGGAGGTGCGGGAATGTGTCAAGAGAGGCATGAGCTGTGTGGTATTTTTAAGAGCTCTGGCTGTCAGCTCCCGATGGCTGAGGCTCCTGCAGAAGGGCCATAGACCCAGAAGGCAGGAAAAAGGAGATGGCTGGAGCCCCGCCATCTGGGCTCGGGCTCTTCTCCCCCATGAATCCCTTACCAGGAGGCAGCCTGGGCTCAGGCTCTCCTCTCCCCCAGCCAAATCCCTCACCTGGTGGCAGTGGGACTCTGGCTGTCAACCCCCAGGGCGGCAGCTCTGCCCAGCTCTGAAGGCTGCATCAGCAGCAACGCAGAAGTAAGGGTGGCAGTGGAGCATTAAGTCTGCTGTGAAAAATGATATTGACAAATATCAGTTTTCACATCGCCACCCTTACTTTTGTGCTGCTGCTGGTGCAGTGCTGCCTTCAGAGCTGGGCACCCGTCCAACAGCCGCTGCTCTCCACTCTGCCTTCAGAGCTGGGTGGCGGTGTATGTACTTGGGAGGAGCGCAAAAACAACTACAGACACAAAGAAGGGGGGCAGGATCAAAGAAGTTTGAGAACCACTGGACTAAATAAACATGATGGCCCCTTCAGACCTTCAAATCTATGAACCCCGAGGCAGCATTCATTCTCTGTGATGCTGGGTTACTGCTAATAAAGCTCTGTTCTGTGTTGGTGCTAGAGTGGGTCAAAACATGGGAACAATTGTTCAGGAATATTTTCGCCAAAAAAACCCTGCCATTTTTTTGCCATCAAAATCTGAACTTTGAATGAAAATTGTTATCCACATTTCAGAATTCAGATTATTTTGACCAGTTCCGAGAGACTGAAAAACAGGACGATCGTTGATGTGGATTTTGTGTGTGTGAGAAAAAAATCATCCCATTTTTGGTGAAAGTTCTGAATTTGTTGAAAAATGTCATTGAAAAATCCAAATTTGGAAAATGTGGACCAGCTCCACTTGTGCTGAGCATCAGGGCCCATTTGCCCTGTCATATGAGGGTTCATCCAGGGCTAATTGTCTTATAGGAACTATCGGACCTCAAACAAGGTATTAGTTAGTTTTTATATTATAAGTAGTGTCCAGAGGCCACAGCTCTGTCCACAGCTCTACTGCGGAAGAAATCCTGACAGAGGGCCAAGGCTAAACCAGGCAGACTACTGAAGGATTAAGATTTTTATACAAAGTTTACCGGCAGGAAATAGAATCCCAGTCTTCGTTGTTTCTATGCACAATTTGCAGAGCATAAAATGGAAACAATTCAGCTGAAATGGGCAGACCACAGCACTCCCATCCCAGGGCAGAATTCAGGGACCTGATTTAAAAAAACAGAGGCAGCACTGGGGAAGGAGTAAACAGCTCTGTTCCCCTTTCAAAATATGCCTTAAAACCTGGCCTCTCTCTGCTTCACCGGACAAGGGGGCTGCAGGCTGCAGGGGGATGAAGTGGTCTCAGATTGCCTTCTTCCTCCAGGGGAAGCTACAGGGTGGTAAACACCCTCTTGCTAAGCAAGTTTCAGAGTAACAGCCGTGTTAGTCTGTATCCGCAAAATGTATCACACTTCTTATCACACTGTCTGTACTCGGCTAGCTTGATTATCACTTCAAAAGTGTGGGTTTTTTGTTTTTTTTTTCTCTTAATTAATTGGCCTCTCAGAGTTGGTAAGACAACTCCCACCTGTTTATGCTCTCTGTATGTGTGTATATATATCTCCACATTATATGTTCCATTCTATATGCATCCGAAGAAGTGGGCTGTAGTCCACGAAAGCTTATGCTCTAATAAATTTGTTAGTTTCTAAGGTGCCACAAGTACTCCTGTTCTTCTTCTTGCTAAGCAGAAGGTCATTTTACAGTTGCCTGCTGAGGTGAAAGCGGAGCAGTGGATGTTTCCTAGTTCCCAGTTTATACTTGTGCTTTAGTCTTCAAGGCATGAATCCATAAGGCCACCTTTGAAATTCTCTGGCTTTTGCAGGATCCCTGGGATCTGGTCTCCTAGCCCCCAGAGCAGGTGGCTTCATATACTGCTGTCCTTGGAGCAGAGCACTCCGAAGCAGCATATGGGCTGTGTCATGTAACGTCACTAATAAAATAATGGAGCAGATGGTGGGGCCAGGGCCGGCTCCAGGCACCAGCCTGGCAAGCAGGTGTTTGGGGCAGCCGCTCCGGAGGGGGGCGGCACGTCCAGTTATTTGGCGGCAATTTGGCGGACGGTCCCTCACTCCCGCTCGGAGCGAAGGACCTCCCGCCGAATTGCCGCCGCAGATCACGATCGCGGC